GGTCAGATTGTAATGACAATTTTTACTCATTAGAGAGGTTGCAGAAACGTTTTCATCACAAAGATGTGAATGTCAGACGTTGAGCTCCGCCATTCTGTAAGCCTAGAAGTTTGACAATGGAGTTTGAAATGTCAAGCATGATTCCACTGATGTTCCAAATGCCATTGTCAAACTTTTAGGCTTACAGGATGGTGATGCTGAACATACAACATTCACGTTTTCGCAATGATAACATCGGCTTCAACCTCTCTATTATTAGCATTTACAATCTTTTATAAACCTATTCCTACCCTCAAAATTAAGCTTTTTGTCATTTTATAATAGTTAAAAATAAACTCATGTTTGTAAAAATTGCAATACTGTGAAGGAATCATGCAAATAAACTGAAACTTACAGGAAATGAAAAACAGTATGACATGCAAATGATTAGAATATCAGAGTGAGAGTGCTTGCATGGGCTGAGAAGCGCACCCTCTGAACAATTATGTTAGCTGTAGAAATAGAGGACAGTAGCAGAAAGTTGGAAGTAGTGTATTGTTGTCTGCCACTGGTAAACATTTCATGAGAAGTCACTTTTGTCTTGTCAATGACAAAGGTCACCATATGAGCAGGTTAGAGTTCAAACTGGTGAGTGATCAGCATACATGAAGGGATATTTTCTTATCATGAAATTGCAGCTCTTAGGGTGTAATGCCACTGACAGTTATGTGAGAATGGAAGCAGGTGGTTGAAGAGTACCAGACAAATCGTAAATCTGGCAATGGGGAACGAAATGTTATGTCAGCATGGGCCAACAGACACCTTATTCACATGACAATTGCAGGTCATACAGCTTCATCTCAGCAGTTGGTACAACATTGGAGCACTGCTACAAGTGTGCCATTATCTGTGTCCACAGTTTGCTGATGTCTGCTATGCTATGGATTGTGTACAAGCATTCCTGTGCACAGGATTTCCAACACAAAACCATAGACACTTGCGGCTACAATGGGCTCATCAACTACCATTGGTATGCCAATTGGCAACTAATTCTTTTCCAATGAATCTCACTTCAATTATGGCAGCATATGCGTTAAACACTATAAACGATGGCGTTAAACACTATAAACATTAAACGATGGCAACATATGCATTAAACACTACACAGGTGAACACCATCTTCCACAGTGCATTATCCAGTCTCATACTGGGCATTCACAAGGTGTGATGGTCTGGGGCACTATTGGTTATCATAGGCGATCTCGGCTGCTCAGAATTGCGGGTACTCTCAACAGTAAACACTACATCAGAGAAGTTGTGGAGCCTGAAGTTTACCCTTCCTTCAATGCATTCCTGGATCTGTATTTCAAAAGGACAATGCCNTGGAAGTCCAAATAGGTAAGGCATAGCTATTGTAGACTGTATGTTGGTGAAAAATAATACTCTGAGTATGTGTTTACTAGAAGTTACTGTAAAATTTTGCTATAGCATTTTCCTATGAATTGAGACTTGTTTGATTAAATTTCCTATATGCTGTTTGAATGAGAGTTTTGAATCAAATTTAACACCTAGGTCCTGGACTCTATCAACGATTTCCAGTCTTTGATTACTAGTAAAAATGGTATTACAAGTTGGTGCTCTCATTAGGCTATACATCATTATTTTAGTCTTGTTAGAGTTTATTTTTAAATTTAACTTCTTAAATAAGATATTAAGTTTATTAATATCACATTGTAACATATGATGACAGCTATTGGCAAAATCAATGTCATCAGCATATATATTTATGAATGAAGAAATAATACTAGTGTCTTTTTATATGAACAGTAAGTTGCTAAGAATAGAACCCTGAAGTATACCTATCAATGGTGAAAAGAAAAAATTGGAAATTTTAATCTGACATGAATGTAATAGGAAGAAATCGTTAAGCCAGATCAAAATGATGCCATTGGTTTCAAATTTGGAAAATAATTTGTCTAACAGAATATTTAAAATTACAGAATCAAAAGCTTTTGCAATATTGATTTATGCCACATAGATAGGGCGTTTTAATTCAAATTTCTATAGAGTAACAAGTTGAATTTCAAGGAGATTGCTTGTAGTAGAGTGATGTTTTATATCGGAATGTTGAACAGTACATAAATGGGAGGTAATGGGGAAGTACATGATTTTATACAGACAGATTTCAAATAATTTCAACATAGCAGGAACTAAAGAAATTGGATGATAAGAGTTAAGCTTTTTTTTTTCTTTTCGACAACAGAAATAACTGAATGAGTACACTGGGCAGGTATGTAGCCAATGTCTAGGATCTGAGGAAATAAGTGAAGGAAAATAGAGGCTGACAAAGGTACTAATTTCTTATAAAAAATGAAAGGAATGCAATCAGGACTATGTATAAATGTAGTGAATGAATTTATAGCCTCAGAAAGAATAGAAAAAGAGAATAAATGGCTAGAAGAAGTAAAACCTAATTGGTTAACATTTGTATTTCTTACACTTAGTGTTTATACTGTGTTTCAGGGAGTAAATTGAGGATGACTGCCTCAAAAGAATCTTGTTTTTTGAATAATATAGTTTCTAGAAAGTCCCTTAAAGGCTTGAGAACTTTCTGGCTTTCCTACATGTAGGGGAAGTAAGATATTTATTATTGACAAAATTTATTTCTTCCTGATTTTCATCACTTATTTTTTGCACTTGGTTCTTTACTTCAGAATGTCATCTTCAAATAAGTGTCTGCAGATAGCTAGATTATTGTCAATGTTAACAAAAATCATTGAATGACACTTTCATTGTTATGAGAGTCTTCTTTGATACAGTTAATGGATTTTGACAGAAAATTTAATTTATTCAAAGTATTAACAAAAATTTGAATGAAATTTGCTTTTGTAAAGCAATTTTCAATGGTACTTTGCAGAACGTAATTCCAAGCTTTGTTATTGCATCTTACATATTCACTCCAAACTTGTGATTCATCTTCAATAATATGCAAAGTCTTTGATAAATGCTCTGTATCATAATTTAAACTTTGGAATGATTTCCTGATTTCCTAAAGATTGCAATCTAAAATTGTATTTGGTAGTAAAAATTGAACTGTTATGCATATTCAATGATTCTGAAAGCTATATCAGTTGTTCATAAAAAAGAATAATTTTATGTTTTTGGCAATCATGTGGGTCTCTTAACTTCAACAGCCAGTTAGAAAAAGCTCTGACACCATTCATGACTTCTTATTTGCTGCATACAGTATAGCTAGCATATTGGCATTGTGAAAACATTGATGCATGAACAATTTTTCAATTAATAACAATGGCAGTTTTTTATCATCTGCCATGTTTGCTCCCAAAGGAAGTTACTTGTTCTTTACTTTTTTACCTTTCTGACATGAATCACTTTTGATCATCGTTGTTTTATCTGGTAGACATTTAAAAGTAAGCCCATTTTGTCTGCATTGAAAATTTTATCCAGGCAATAGTTTTGTACAGTTTCTGGTAAACTTTTCAACTGCTTTGCACATTTCTCCTCTTGTACTTCTGCACTTTTACCATAGATTTTACTGAAAACTATTCCATGCTTCTTAAATTTTTTCATTCACTGCTTGCATTGAAATTGATGTCTCAATTGTTGTTTGAATTATTCGTCTTTCTTTGTAAGATTTCCATCAACAGGAATATTCTTGTCTGTACACTGTACAAACTACTTCAGCATGCACTTTTCAGCATCTAGGTCCAACAATAGCCAAACCTTGTCACAATGGTAGCAATATCAGAAATATTCTCCATTTTATATATGTTTAGAGTTTAGAGCTACATAATCTAAACTGTATTTTACATAAGTTACATATATATTAATATATATGTGTATATTTATAATTTATGTGGGAGATACAGGGTCTAAAAGAGCCATGTGCAGCTCATGAGCCACAGTTTGGCCACCATGGATCTAGATAAGTACATTTACACTTTATTTTCTGCTCTGTCTGATCCTGTTGTTCATTGATGTTTTCCAAAATCCTCTTACTGTTTCTGAAGTATGTAGAAAGAGTATTCAATGGAAAGCTAAATTCTTTTGATATTTCTGATTTTTTCTTTTAGCTTTCTTCCAATATTTATGATAAATATCTTTTCTGCTATCAACAAAATCTATAGCTTTCTCTTTTTGCCATTTCTCTTTACTGTACTTTGGAATGAAAATAGTTAATACACTGGTTTATTGATCATTTATCAGTAATGAAAATGTCATTGTAAATTCAAACTTTACAGTAAAATTCATACAGTGTAAATGTTTAGTTCCAAATAAGGTGATACATATAAATGAACTTATAAATATGATTGGCCAATAACTCATTAACTTGTCAAATCATAGATGCAGTTGTTACATTTTTAAATTTTCAATTCAAAAAATTTTAAAATAATGAATTTAAAGAGCCTAGATTTTATTGGTCAGTTTTTGTTTAAGAATAAGATCATTACTTTAGGTGCAAAACATTTAAAAATTTTAAATTTTGTTCTGCAATCAGAAGCATAATTCTATATAATACCAATCTTCAACTTATTATATCATCCATCTTTTTGAAAACACAAAAGAAAGTGCACAAAATTAAATATGAAATAAAGTCTGGATCTTAAATTTTGAGTAGCAAAATATGATCTCAAAATTAATTTACTCATAGAAGCATAGAATACATTGAATGTATGGGAGTTAAGTTGGAGCATAAATAAAACTCAAGTTAAGGAAGTTTGACTTATCAAGAGTCTACTGTATATAGTTTTTATAATTAATTTTGTAGTAAAATATTATTAAATTTTAAATATAAACTTTATTATTTATCTATATTTATTGTTCATGACTTTATATTTATATTATTTTTTGAAGAAAAATGATTATGCTGAAAAGACTGATTTTAATATAATCTTTTCAAATAAAATTTTTAATAATATACAACATGTATGCAATTTTATTTAATTATTTATAATAAAAAGTTCTTTATTCACTTTAATAGATTTTGTTGTTATTATTAGATATACAAGAAGAATCATTAATAGCATCCATAAAAACTCCATTTAAGCAGTTTGAAGATTCTTGGAAGAAATTATCAGTGTTTCCTATTAGAAAAGAAAAATTTTTTCTTCAGTCAAATCAATTGTTTCAATGGCATCCAAAAAGTAAAAATTTCCCAAGAAATGTTGCCGAAAGTATAAAAAGTATTGAATCAACCGAAGCAATAAATGAAAAATATGACAGAAAGTTTAACATGGATGAGAATGATAAACTGCAAAATGAAATGATTAGTTCTGCAGAAAATATATATGAAACAGGTAATAAATTTTATTTTTTAATAACATTTTTGAACTTTACTTGATACAATAAATGTTGCATGCATCTGGATTTTGTAGTCAAGAAAATCTGAATGTGAGATGGCATATTCTCTAATGGTTAGCACAAAATATTAAATGACAACAAAAATTTTCTACTCTTATTGCAGACATAATTATAGAACTCTATGAGCAATATTTTGTAGAGAGAAGCCTTTTGCTTCCTTATTATATTTTAATGCCCATGCAAGTTAATTTGATTTTTTTATTTTCATGACTATTTTAGAAAGATGACCTGAAACTTATCTTTTCAAATTTATCATATAAGTTCTTGAATGTTTTAGTGATAAACAAATATTTTCAAAAAACTTTTTTGACAGTTTTAAAGAAAAATTATCAATACATTCATAGTAAAAAGTTGTATTTTTTTGATCATGAACACAATAAATCCAGTTATCTCAGTTTTCATAAGACCACAGATTGTAATAAAATATCTCCTTCTGGAGTAAAATGGCATAATTTATATTAAGTTAATAGTGGTGGAATATTTTAAATAATTAAATGTAAATATTATTACTAAATTTTTTTATATCATTTTTAATATATTTTATTAGGATATAAAATTTTTCATATATTATATAACATATAAACCATTATGTAGTGAAATTTATAAACTGTTCCATTAGAATTAAATGTAATACATTAGCTAAACTTTGATGAAAAAAATTTATATTTGAGTCTGTAATCAGTTAAAATATAAATACTGTATTCAGAAAAAAATTTGGAAACTGATGACAAATATTTTAAAAAATAACCATTAAGATAAATATGCATCTTGTGAACTTGAAAAAAAATGAACAAAATTCAAATATTTCTTTTCACACAATCAGAAACTATATAATTACTGTTTATAAGTAAAAGTTTTTATCAAATTGTAAAAAAATTAAAAAATTGACTTGCTTTAATTCTAAGATTCTAAAAAATTTGTAAAGTATAAAACATAAGTTATACTTCTGACAAAATAATTCCTTAATGATGAAAGTACACTAAGTTGCAGCAGACTTTTTATTGTAACTTAGGTAACTACTAGAAACTATAATTTTAGAAATAATTTGAAGTCTTAATCAATTATACACTTAACCTTCTTGTAACAATTTGTGTAATCATTATCAAATATATTATCAAATTTTTTGTCAAATTATATTTTAATCTGGAATGTTTAACAATTAAATTAATTAATCTCTTTATATATATAATAGATCTCTTTATATATATATAGTAGATTTCACTTTGATACTCACCTAATGTAAATTGATAACATTAGTCAGAATAAGTAAATGAGACCACAGTTAATGAAAATTTGCCTATGGAAGCAGATTACGATTTGTCATGATAGTTTATGGCTGTGTTATTGCAGGTGGTCTTGTAAATAGATGATGCCCGTTTAACATGTGCAAAAATATTTGCATTTTGTTTATGATTTTTTTCACTGGTTTGTTAGGTTTTCGCAGTGTTTATTATAAAATTTTTAAGTAATGAAAAAATACAAATAATTTAAAAATAATAACTTTATTAATAATTTTAATATTCTCTTGTTTTTAATAGGCAATGAAAATTCTTCCTTGAAAACTGATAAGATAAATGAAGAAAGTGATTTGAAATCTCTTCCAATAAATGAGTCATCAAGTTGTGTGAAAACTCAAGATGTAAATATTAAAGACAAATTTTTGGAAAACATACAAAATAATCAAATTACTTCAACAGAAAAAACAGATGAAAATTTAAATAACACTGATAAGCTTTCTAATGAAAGTAATAATTCAGATCAATCAAACTCTCAAGATAAAAAAAATTTAGATTTGGTAAACAATCGTGAACCTCTATCCTTAGAAGAAATACTTTTTCGATATAAAAATTACCACAAAGAAAACAGAGACAGATCAGATCTTTGTGAAACATCAGACATTTCTAATTCAAACATTACAGATAATATTTCTACAGAAAAAGAAAATGAAATAAAAGACAAGAGTTTAAATATAAACAAGGCAAATAATTGTTTAAGTTTTACAGAAACTGGAGAAATAATAACTCAGGAAGAAAATGAAAACAAAAATCAAGAACAATTAACATCTATGAATGAAGAAATTTCAATAAATACTGATTTTAAAAGTAATTTGGAATTAAAAATTGAAAATTGTGAATTTAATCGTAAAATTCAAAATTTTGAAAATAATTCTTGTATTAAAAAATTTGATGAAGAATCAAAGCACTGTAACAATTCTGATTCAGTTGAGATGTTACATTTGAGTGACAACAAAAAAGATTTAAAATCAAATGTAGTTACTAACAGAATCTTACTGGATTACAAAGATATTTGGATTCAAGATAAAACTCCTGATCTATTAGTAAGCTTAGCTGCTTGCAATCAATATTTATATTGTATTGATATTAACAGAAAAGTGTGGTATTCTTCACTTTCTCAATTTAGTTTTTCATGGGTAAAAACAACAAAAGAAGCAAACCAAATAGCTGTTCCTTTAAATGGAAATGTTGTTTCAGTATTAAACAAAGGAACTGCTTATATAGCTTTATTTTCTCCAAAAGAAAGAAACTTGTCCTCTGCTAATTGGAGAATTGTTGCTGAAAACATCAGTTATATTGCTATTGATGACAGTTCTATTTGGTAAGTAAACAATAAAAAATTAGTTTTAAAAATTCAGAAATTATACATTAATATCCTGAGTTATGTAAGTAATGCAGACTTTAAACCTTTACATAACTTGAATTTTACATAAGTTGAATTTGTAAATTGTTTAAGTGTAACTGTGTAATTAATAATTCAATACTGTATTTATTATTATATGTGTACTGTACATATAATAATAATCATTTTTTAAATAATTTTTTTATGAATAATTCCAAAAAACATATTTGATCACAATGTTTAAACAGTAGTTAACATATTCTGTCATGTCAAAATTGTTATTTTTTTCTACTGAAGAAAGATCAAAGAGAAAAAGAAAAATGTCATCCCAAAAAATTCTCCAAATTTTTGTCAGCCAATAAAAAATTCCAATCTGGAAATGCTGGATGGCATTGCATGAAAACTGATATTGGTTCTCAATGTCACCTTGTACTTTCCTGCCCAAACTTGCTGCATAACATCATGAAATTGCTATGTGTATGGTGCATGGGAGCTTGTCATTCTGTTTTTCCTGAAGTGTGCTTTGTGGTTCAATTTCACACTGAATGTCAAAATAAGTGAACTAAGTTTTTATTGCCAGTATTATATTTTTATCACCACTTTAATAAAAATATCACCAAGTGGCAGTTTTGGTACTATGCAGCTTGATCTGTGTATCAAATCAATCCTATTGTTAGTCAGTAATTTTATTGTCCCATTATTTGTTGAATAATTCCATTTTGTTGTCCATATAAGTCAGCAATTACTTGACTTGTTTATCTTCTTCTATATTGTAATGAAAACTAAATCATGGATTTCCTCACATCAATATCCATACTGGATTATTTTTTACATTTTTGAATAAATATTTATAATTAAAAACTAAATTTGTCATTTTACCAGATTCTTAGAACTTTCCATAAGTTTTCAAAATCTTATTGCCTATTTATCATTTTTTTTAATGAAAAACTGTTGGAACTGTTTAATGGAAGTCATTGTTGTTTCATTTTTTTTAAAATTTAAAAACTATTTTAGAAACCATTTTAAATATATTCAATTATTCATTTATTGAAATGACAGGGTTTAATTAATACCATTTAGATATTATGTCAGATAATTTTAGCATTTTCTTTGTATGGTATATTAGCAGTTATAGCTGCATCAACTTTGTTTTTTTAAAGGAGTTAATTTGTTGCAGTCCAATTTTCCTTTTAACTATACACTATCGCTATAAAATAACAGTTTTTCAGACTAAGTAATATATTTTGTTAAGACTCTCTTCAAGCATTAATTAAAATTAATAATTTTTTATTTTTCTTAATGTAAGTTAGCTAACTTTTAGGGAGGGATCATTAATCCCATGTCAGGATGATCTAGGGATGTTCATGTGTGGGTGTGGAGCAGGAGACAGAGATGATAAGTATCTTTACAAAAACCTGTTTATTTTAGCATAAAACAAACTTACACTATGAAACAAATATTTTTGAACACAATTGGCTGGTTGGAAGTCCTTAGCTTCGATGTTGTCTTATTTACTTCCTGAGCATTGGTGTTCTTTTTGTTGTTTGTTGCTGAGGTGGCTCTGGGGCAGTGTTATTAAGCAGTTTGTGAGACAGGTGGGGAGACTCCATTGGTCAGTGTCGGCAACGGCATGACTTCAGTATGAGCATGAAAACGGAAAGCTTCATCCCAAGTATGTTGACACACAGTGTCTTCGTGCTTTGGAGCCTTTTTGGAGAATCTTTGTGTCCTTGAAGACCGGGATTATATCAATCTCTGTTCTCCCCCTTTTATCTATCCTGATTGGTTCCACATCCCCTTTTTCCGCTCCCCAATTGGTCCCTCATCTGTCCCTAAGTGAAAGACGAGCTGTTAGGGCCACGAGAAGGGTCATCTTTGGAGAATCTATCCAACACCGTCTATTAACTCTGGATGGAGTGTGTTAATGGGACTTTGAACTTGCGCTCATATTTTACCTCATTGTTGTCTAGTATATGACATCTTAGATGTTTTAATGACCTGATGCAATGTTTCCTTTTCCAAAATTTTCTGTTCTAATTGCTTGTATATGAGTGCCTTGCCAAAGATCCATCTCTACTGGAGGACGCTTGTTTACATTTATTGCGTCATGTTTTACATTAATAGTATTTTTTTCTCATCTTGGTTTCATATGACTAGCACAACGAATTTAATCTTTGATCGGTTTTAACAATGGAGGTTTTTTCCTTCTAGTTTCATTTTAATAAATTTCTATAATAAATGTTTAATTTCAACCCATTTTTGGAATCTCACATTAAGCTAATGCAACTATGAAATAAACTTTTATTTTTCTTATTATTCCATAAAAAGTAGTTTAAAAAAGACAAAAATTGATAATACAATCAATTATCTGTTTTTTCAGTTTTTTATGTAATAATTAACAAATTCAAATTCTTTGATATATTTGAAACAAGATACAAAAAGAATTTTCTTTATTTTTTAAAATTAATTACTAGAGATGTAATCAAAAATTGAAATTATAAAACAAAGTAATATGTGTAAAAATAGATATATACAGTGGTACCTCAGGATACGAAATTAATCCGTTCCGAAACTGAGATCGTATCATGAAAATGTCGTAAGGTGAATCAACTTTTCCCATACGATTACATGTTAAACCAAATAATTCGTTCCAATGCGAAAAACATACTCAAATTAAAGCCAAGTAATACATTAAAAAAATAACTGTAGTAAGGAAAACAAATGAAAAATGCGAACTAATGTAACGTCGTATGGTGAGTTTTTGTTCGTATCGTGGAGCAAAAAAATGTTCGAATTTCATGTCGTATCCTGAAAATTTCGTATGCTGGGGCGTTCGTATCCTGAGGTACCACTGTAATAGGAAAAAAAACTATAAAAAAACAAACATATAAGATCAGTAAAGTAAAAAATTTGCAAGATGATATAACTCAAAAAAAAAGAAACAAAAATACAATTGATACAATCAATATAAGATGATATAAAATTGAGGTATATATAGGATAATATTGTTCAAAGATTGAATCAAATTTAAATCTTGAAAAAGAGGCTTCATCATCTGCTTGAGGGAAGAATTTTTTTTCCTAAGGGTGTCATCTTAGTTAAAAGACATCATCTAATGCCTAGAATGTAAGGATACATAAAATTTTGATAGGATCAAATGTAAAAGAAAACATTGCTGTCTTAATTCAATTGGACTTTGCATTATAGGAAATGTGTTGTATATCCTGTAAATAGGATTCTATGAAAGAGGAAATTAGTTTATAGAAAGACATGTCAGAAATTCTTCTAGGAATCTATATAGTTTGTCAAAGATAGGATATGTGATAGTGTAGGAATAATGGTCAATTTGGTATCTAAATTTTGTTGGCAATTGTGGAGTTTTGGATACTCAGAAAGCTAAATCAAGGATTGACAGAATATTTATGATGAAAGATATGCAATTTCACATGTTGATTATTAATTATATGTAGTTATGGTAATATATTATAAATGAAAGTGTTTGGATAGAACTACAAGTATGTACTAGTTTAGATTACAATGTAGAGGTGCATCTCAGATGAAATATATTTTTGAAGGAAGTGAAAAAGGATTTCACTCTTAGACAAATATTTAGAAATTTTATTGGAAAAGTTCACAATACTACTAGGCAAAACTGTTTTGGTTTTGATTTATCCACAGTCAGTAAGCATACCATAGATTAAAATACTCATTAAATTTAATACTAAATATTTTTTATTTTATCCTATTGTTTTCTAATTGCATAGGTATATTAATAATAATGGTGAATTATATGTTCAGCAATATGCACTACTTTATCAGTCAAATTTTAAATCAACACACATATCTTGTGAATATCATCTTGCTGAAGTTACATCTCAATCTGGCAATGTTTGTGTTCTGACAACTACAGGAAAAATTTTGTATAGAACTGGCATAACTGTATATAAAACTGAAGGATCTGGATGGAAAGAAATAAGGTAAAAAATGATTACAATTAAAAATAATATTTTAAATCTTATGCTTTATTGATAAACATAATTTTATTATTATGATATATTTTAATAGGTTAATGGAAAATATGATAGTTAAAACTTGTGCTCTTGGATGTAAGGATTTATTATGGATTATCGATAATCATTGTAAAGTTTGGTTTCACCCTAATATTTCAAAAGTTGTCACATCTGAAACAAATTGTAAATGGTGGCAAGTAAGTGTGTTTTATTAAATTACAGGTTGTCCTTGTTTTACACCAGTGATGCATTCCTGGAAGAGGCAACGTAAACAGAATTGACACAAAATGAATCCATTTTATTATGGAATAAATATGGATGATTCCAGGTATCCACAAATGTACTGTATTTTTTTTTCAATAGAAGCATGTTTAATTTTTGCAAAATTTTTACTAATATAAAATAATACAGAAACTATAACATTTATTTATAGTTGAAATTGACAATGCAATTTGTGAGCCCGTGGATTTTTACAGGGCTTTTAATGTTAATTGTTTTCAAAATGTAAATATCTTCGTTAGAAAAAAACAGAGAAGTAGAAATTAGATCAGAGGTCACTGGTTATAGTAACAAGTCAGTGGAAAAGTAGACAAGTGGCTGTCAAGATTGCACCGTCATCATCAACAAAGGTTGATCACGTGTTAGATTTCCCATGACAATCATATAAAAGGTGTGAGCCACCGGAAGTTTGAGAGTTCGCACATGGAAGTTATATTTGGTTTTAGTGGTTCCTCGTCTCCCGTATCTCCATACAACAGACTCAACCTAGTCCTCGGAGAAGACACCAGTAGAAGATATTGACAACGCCCAATGCTTTCATAAAGAACTGTTATCACCGCATATAGCACTTGTCCAACTTTAGAGGTAATTATCAGTGGACTGCGAACTCTCTCTCTCGTAACGGAAGTAGGCATAGCTGTCATAGAATAGATTAAGCAGTTGTCAATCACAGACTTTGTTATCTAATGTTAATCACATCTAGCCTATATAACTTAGAGATATATTCTTGTAACTCTGTGTAGCCTCCTCTATTTTAGTGTTAGCCATATAATAAACCTTTATTTCATTATTTTGTTAAACCTGTCTCCTGTCTGTGAAAGGACACCTGCCAACTTGCTCACCTCCCTCACCACTCAATAAAAAGCCATCCAAAATGACAATGTGGGCAGTCTTTGCAGACTGTTGCCGAGTAAGTGGTCAGTAGGGATTAACCCTTGGCTCACAGTATCTCACAAATTTTTATACCACTGCTGTGTTGGTTTCCTTGGTAGTGCTGCTAGATGCAACATCATTTCTTCAATAATGGTCCTGGTTGAGGGTCATCCATCAATGACAGGCTAGCTGAGGATTATGTACTTTCATTAAATATGAATCCTTGCTGCTTGATAACCTTTTTTTTATCTCTCTGAGAATTTCATAATAAGGCTTCATTTGTACTCCTTACAAAATCATTTCACTCTCAGTCAGGATCTATCTCAAAATACTCTTCAATCAATGAGGTGGCATAGCGAAAAATTATGTAAGGATGTCAGTAATTATTATCTTCAGAGCCGTAACTAGGATTTTGGATGCCTATGGCCAAGAATAAAAATGGTGCATTTTTAATTTTTACTATTAAAAATAATAATTTTATTCTAAAAAATGCAGTGGTAAAAAATTATCTAATGACATTTAAATACTATATAAATATAAAAATTTTTTTGTGTTATTAATTTTGAATACATATTATTTTGAAACCTCGTTGGCGTTTTTATTAAATTGGTGCCTATGGCGGGGGCCACATTGACCATACCCTAGTTAAGGCTTTGATTAAATTATCTTTACAACATATTCTGGTTCATCATCATTTATCTCCTCCTTTATTTGTGTGTCTAAATGTTCTACCAAATTTGCTAATTCTTCTATATAATATTTAGCATTTGAAAAATATATTCTATCCATTGTGGGAAAAATTTTTAAGAACTTTTTGTGAAAAAAATTGAAACCAATGTTGTTATGAATTAGCATAAATCAAACCAGTGTAAAATGAGGACAGCCTGTATTATAAATTAAAATATCAATAATTTTTTTAATAAATAAACATTAATATAGAATTTTAAACATTAATTTATAAATAATTAATCATTATTTATAAAAATTAATACTAAATTAGATTTATTATAAAAATATGTATTAATTTATATATTTTTTAAATGTAACTTTAGCATATTAGATGTGTAAGTTCTAATATCTGGGAATGGAATATTTGACATCCAGAGATTCCATTCCCAGATATTAGAACTTATGCATCTAATATGCTATTCTTCCTTTCTTTGATGGTTAAACTTACAATTGTAACTTTATCAAGAGGTTACATGAATACCTGATACAAAATTTTCTTAATCATTAATGAATTTATCATCTTTATTCTTTCTAAATTATTCTTTACTTATAAATTCTGGCAATATGTATTAATACATTTGATTGTAATTTTACACATACAACTTGCATAGCTGAACTATTTTAATTTAAAGTGCTAATTATATATTGTTATTAACCTTTTACTTTAGCAACTTGAATTTTTTAGTGTGCAGTCAAACTTTGGTTTACGAACTTAATTCATTCCTAAAAGTTGTTCAAAAACTGATTTGTTTTCAAACCAAAACAAATTTTCCCATAAGAAACAATGTAAAATGAATTAATCTGTTCCCAACCCACAAAACAAAGCCCTTTTTTTTTTTACCTTTTTAACAGCATTTCATGCATAAAAATGCCTACAAGTGCAATATAATATTATCTATCTTTATATATATATTAAAGGCAAAATGTTTCTTCACTGCCAATTGAAAGCAAAACTAACACTTTACAAAAAGTGCTATGGAGATTTGATTCTGCCTGGATGAAATATAACCAAATCAATCTAGATAGATAATAAGTATTTTATCCACACTTTCTGAAATATTATGTTTCAATTGCTTTCATTTAAATTTAAATTTTAATTAATTAATTAATTAATTTTGATTTTATTTTTAATTTTAGTTTCAGTTTTGGTGTAAAAACCAAAGTTTTAATTATTATTTTGTTATTTTTAATTTTAATTAACTGGCTATTTAGTATTAATATATCTTATATTAAAAATTAATACAATCACCACGATATTACTGGTATACAATTAAATAAATAAGCAATTACCTATAAATGGATGAAAACGTTTGTTTAAAAGAGAGTTAATTGCTGGTTTATAGGTACTTGCTTATTTATTTAAACATTTATATTATAAAATATAATATATTAAAAAATTTTTGTTGTTTAATTTGAGTTAAACATCTTTAAATATGAATTATTTAATAATAATCCATGAAACCTTGTTTTTACAAGTGTTATGTCCGTAACAAACTCCACAAACGCTTTCGACCTCCACCGAGGTCTGCTTCAGGTGGTGACTGACTGTGTTTCCTCCTGACCGTCGCAATGATGACGCCCGAGATGTAAATAACTGTGTGTTTCAGGTTTCACCCCTCTGCCTGTCCCAGTTCTAATTCTTTGAACAAATACCTCCACACCTGTGCGATTGTTTCACGATCTTTGAAGTTGATCAGGTGCCCCCACCTGATCAACTTCAGGTTAGCTTATAAATTTCCCAGGCCTCAGGGACAGGCGAAGGAGTAAAACCCGATACACACAATTATTTACATCTCGGGTGTCATCGTTGCGACGGTCAGGAGGAAACATAGTCAGTCACCACCTGAAGCACATACTCAGTGGAGGTCGAAAGCATTTGTGGAGTTTGTTACGGACATAACACTTGTAAAAAAAGGTTTCGTGGATTGTTATTACTCAACGCAGTGTTAAGTTGTTGGAAGTCATTTTGAATTATTTAAATACGAAATACGATGTAATTTATATTATGTGTATGTCAATTAACACAGTTTTTATTAATTAGATTTAAATTGAATTGTGATACGTATTGAAAACTGGAAGTAGTATCTTACCTGCATGCACATTAAAATCTAATTTGAGTAACATCACCATTGATGATTTGTGTCATGACATCTAAAAATAGGCTAATCTCAGTGCTGAATTGGAAGTCCTGTCATCTGTCAATTGGTCGGGCCGTTGACTTTTTTTAACATAGGAAGTATAGGAAGTTGACCATTGGTGGCCAACTTTGCAGAGTAGCATGTTCAGAAATTGAGTTATTGTACGTAAGCCAGAGCAAATATGGCATTCAAAATTTTGTTTGTAAAACAGTTTTGTTTAAATTGTATGTAAACAGGGGTGTTCATAACTTAAGATTTGCCTGTACTATCAATTTTTATAACTTTTTGACAATTCTATTGAACAAAATTAGATTTTTCATTTAGAGGTAATTTTTGGAATAGAATTCTTTTTATGTTGTTTTTTTTCTTTCAAACATATTTTTATAAAATTGTTAATTTTTTAAGCATTTTGAAAACTAGCTTCTTTATAGAAATGTCAAAATATAAAATTTTAATTTAAAATATCTTACATTTAAAGGCATTATATTATAATTAAAGTTATTTTATGTTTTTAGATTGATATGAGTGATTTATTGTTTCAAGATAATAATCAAATGAGGATGATAAAAGATTTAGCATCATCAAGCATGTTATGCATGTTATCGAGTTCAAACATACCATGGAATGGTAAAACTTCAAATTTACATTCCTATATTACCACCAATGAAAAAGGTGTTTGGTATTATGAATTACCTAGTAAAACTATTTTTTCAAATAGGAAAGAGATAATTGGTAAGAATATTCATAAAATATTTCCATTTATAAATTTTAAATGTTTACTATAGGAGAACATTTTTTAAATCCATCTAATCAAAGTTTACAGATATTTCCATTGCTAATAAAAATTAGAAGTCTATATTACTTAAATAAGATATGTAGATTTTATAGTATGTATATTACATTATAAAATTTCAAACATTTTTTAAATATAAAATTTAATAATCTTATTTCATAAGAATGTCATTCTGTGACAATAAGCAAATAGTTTTTAATGCTATAAAATGATAGTATAAGGTTTTCCATGCTGTGTTTATAAGTTGGTCATTTCATGATGACGTCAAGTGATCTTTGGCTTGATCAGTGGCCAGTTGGTGAATTTTGTGTTAATTTTCCCAATGTACCTTTTTGAAAGTTATGAAACTGAAACATGGGTACAGATGGAGTGGATACACTTGACAAATAATTTGACAATAAAATGAAAATTTTATTGCTCATCCATGGAAGGATTATACTCTCCCACACACACCTTATGAATTTCATGCAAATTGTAATTTTGGCTAACTCATAGGGAGACAGAGAGAGAGAGTTACAAATGCTTATTACCATAAGCATTGGATCAGTTTAATTAATTAATTAAGCATGTGTGTCAGCATTGATATGGCTCTTCTTCTTCACTAGAAGTCCAGGTCGCTTTCCTCCATCCCACTCTGTTCCTATTGGTCTTTCCTCCATTCTTTGGCGAAGATTCTTTGGGTGATTCAGCTGTTGCATCAGTATCCAAAATTTCCCACTAAGTATTACTCCTTCATCAGAGTCCAGCAAGAACTCTTGGTTAATCTACTAGGAACATTTGGTTTCCTACCTTAGTTTTTTGTAGACTCTGGGATTATCAATTTTAGCCAATCTGGCTTTGCTTCAATGAATTATCTGAATTATTTAGACAATTACCTTCTCACATGAATTTTGTGTTTATTTGATTCATTAGGTTGTTGATAGCTTTGATTTGCCCATTTTTGGCAGAATTATTGCTCTCTGGTAGGGTTAAAATCAGGACTTAATAGTGATAAAACAATATTTGTTTTAATTTGTCCAGTAATAATAATAAAATTAACTCAGAAAATTATTGATATTATTTTCTGTGTAATTTTGTTTAAAATATTTATAATCTTTTAAACATGATTTGTCAGGAGTTTCACTTACTTTAATATTTTAATTTTGTAATACATCATCAACTTTTTTAGAACTTTGACATGAGCCAATGATTTTAATATTTATTTGAACCATTAATGTTTCTTTCTTTTAATTTTTGATTGGAATTTCAAATTAGCTTATAATCTATCGCATCACATATTCAACACTTCTGTTCAAATTATCTTTTAAACACAGATAACCTGCAGGTTATCCATATGAAATTACAGTATTATATGATAAACTGTGCTTTTAAATTTGTCTTGCTCAGGAATTGACTATTATATTTTGAATATGTATTTTAATATAATATTGTCATATAAACCATTTTTATAATATTTCTGATTAATTAAATTGATAAATTAATTTTTTGAAACAAATAGGACATCATTGGAAAAAAATTCCTTTAGGAACAACAGAGATTTCATATAATTTGAAATATATTTCTGCAGAAAGTTCAACTTCTGAAAAAGGTATTTTTTAATCAATTTATAAACTTTGACTTTGTTTTTAATTTTTTAAAATAAACTTTTCTATGTTAAAGCCATTCAGATTTATTTAAAAATGTGCCATGTGTTTAACAAATTAATTTGTATGTGTCATTCTAAATATAATCAATAATACTAGCCAAATTAACTAGATAACTAGATTATATTTGTAATCTTTTTATTCAGAAGATGCCATTTATTATGTAAGATAATTGTTCTAAAACAAAATGACAGCACATTTAATTCTGCTAATGTACAATTGAAAAAAATGAAGAATTATGATGATAATTGAATTCCAAATTATTGTAGCTAAACATAATCGAGGTGTAGCTAAACATAATTGAGGTTTTGAGAAAAAAGCCAGCTCCATTTTTTTTGGATCTGGATCATAAAGGCTGTGAATATGGCTGATTTTGAAACTAACCTCCAATTTTTATCTCTATTTTTCTGTGATTAGTGTAGAAATCTATAACAATCATCATAGAAAAGAGCAGAAAAATATGTAAGATCAAGTGCTTAGCTAACTTTTTGAAAAATGGACTTAGCTGTGTTTTTGAAACTGTATTCCTCAGTTATCCTTTCAAATTAGATAAAAGAGTTAAAACTTCCTTAATTTGTATAATTGTAAAATTGTCATTTACTATATTTGAGAAATGGATCACCGAATAGTTGTTTTAAGTGAATAAAAAAGTGTTAAAGGTGCATAAATTACAGATGCACAATTAGAAATGTTTTCAGTTATTATTATTACAAATTATGATGAAATTAAAATATTAAGCAAATATCATTTTTCAAGCAAATATAATTTTGAAAATTTTTTGTAAACTGTTAAACTTTCATTGGACTATTTTGTTTTCTGATTTTATACAGTTTTCTTTATTATTAAAGCATTTCCTGTTTAAAAAAAATGTCCATATAAAACCAGCATGTCTATTGCATAGTTAGAGTATTGATCCAGGTTATAACATAGACATCATCCATCAAAATATTATTTTCAATAATAAAAAATAGATTGAAATACCTGTAGAAAAAAATTATTTTTGAAGTTATTTTTAATACAGTATGTATACATGTTTGTGTAGTGAATTAATTTATAAATATAGTAGAGCGTTGTTTATCCGAATCAATTGGGGACTGGGGTTGTTCGAATAACTTATTTTTCGGATAACCAATTATGTACGGGAAAATATATTAATTTATCCCGTGTTGAAATTTTTCTCCGTTGCGTGTCGCTTCGAGTTGAATTTTCGTCGATGTTAAGCCTAACAAAGACTATTGTATCGTTAAAAATTATTTTTTTATTTTGTACAAACAAAATAAATATATTAAAAAATATAAAAACAATAAAAAATTATACTTATGAAGTTAATTTAGTATAAAAAACGTAAAATATTTGAGTAGCCGAAGACATAGCCAAAGATTACGGCGCCACAGCACTGGCGAAAATTTAAATTTGTCGACTGAAATTCCTTCGGATAACTGACCTTCGGATAAACGACGCTCTACTGTATATGAAAACATACCCAATTGTGTACATTGACGAAAATATTTATTAGTTATCAAAGATTATTTGCATTTATTTTTTATTATATACTGTGTAAAGTTTTTTAATATCAGTTATTTTCTCATTTTTCCTTTTATATTAATTTGTTTTCTTTCATAACATTACTGCATGCCATTCCTTGTCCTTCATAACTTTTTGAACTAGAAAATATCTTGCTGAAATTTCAAACATATATGAGAGATTCTAAATTAAATTTCTGAAATGATTAAAATTTTGTATTATTTGTATAAAATATTTTAAAAAATAATTTATGATAATAGGTGATGATTAACTGTTAAGTGATTTTTTTATGATATTCCAGTTTTAAAGAATGTTTTTATCAGCAGTCTTTCATAGCTAACTGACTATTAGCATTTTATCTAAAGCATTACGAATAAAACTTAAACTGGTTAAACATATTCATTTGGCTAAATTATTAATAAACAAATAACATTCGAAATAAAAATTATAAATTATTCATTAAAAAGGTAAACAGTAAAAATTGTTTGACATTGGAAGTGTGAGATAAGCAGAGGGTCACGGGTGAATCCTAATGACCACTTAATCTGCACAAGATCATGAGATCCGATCTCTACGTCAATGAATGGCTAACCTATGAGTGTCAATAAGGATCTAGATTGTAAAATCAAGATCCATGTCAGGATGTTGACACCAGTTAAACTATTATTTCGCGGTTTAATTCACTATTTTTCTATTTCAATTAGTAGTGCTTGTTTGAGTAGGGAGACACATGAGTAAGTGATAGGAGTCCAAGGAAACTAGAATCAAGTCCCATTAACAAATTAACAAATATTTTAACAAATAACAAAGAATACAAATGAACAAACTAAAATATATCTATCTATGATTAATCCTTAAATTAGGTCCCTAAAGAGTGAGAGAGAGAGTTTATAAACGATATTGTATTATATCACATCTGTGATAACTTGACTTATGCGATTCATAATCTTGGGCGGAAGTTACTTGTATGAGGAACTATGGCACTTAGTTAAACAAAGACATGCTGAAGAGCTGAATTGCCCTGAGTTTAGTGCGTATCTTTTATTTATACTCCCCTTCTCCTCCAATAGAGATTAAGGATTAAGAGCATCTGACTGGGTGTGGTTGATGAGTCTTTCGAGTTAGTCAGCCCTTTTAGTCATGGGAGATAAAAATCTCTATCAGGAACTTACTGTCAACATAGGATACATTTATTCCTTGTTCTCTTTGATGTTTTTGCTTTGATAAAAATTTTTTGAAATATATTATTTAATTTTTAAAAGATTTTCTATATTATCTTGAATATTTTATCCCAAAATATTCTGAATCTCACAGAAGCACTTGTCATATTCATCAGATTCATGTTCTACTTACAAATAAAATAACTTGTGAGGCTTTGCAATAGTATTCTTTGAAATCAGTTTAGTTGACTTTAATATTTTTAAAATATATCTAGATTAATCTTCACTTATTATTATGACTCCAATTATTATGGTAGTGCATACCATCTTCTTGATACACGAAGGAATGTTTTCAAAGTCCTGATTCTAAGATCAGTGGCTGATACTTTTAAGAGATATTCTTCATCCACATTTCCAATATCCCAAAATTATAGCTATCATTCCTTAAATTAACTATATTTTAAATATTTATTTTTATCTTTCAGGTGGTATTTGGGGACTGTTAAAAAATAATGATATATTACATTTTTCTAATGAAACTGAAAAACCGTTGATACTTAAGCCACCTGATTTGCGTGATAAAATTAGTTGTTTAACATCAGCTCCAGAAGCATTATGGATATTAACATCACTAGGTAAAATTTTTATAATAAATGAAATTTTTTGTACCAATCTGGAAGAAATTAATTGGAAAAAATTAGATTTATCACAGTTGGGTAAGTATATTTTATATTAATAGTTTTACAGTGTAATTTTTTGATTTTTTTATTAACCATTTTAATGATAATATTCACAATAAATGTTTTATTTATAGATTTAAATATTGAATTGTCATAATCATTCCTTCTTTAAGGAAGAACTATTCTTAGCTTGAAATTTTGATTAACAATTTGTTTAATTAATTAATAATTATACCAGTGGAAAATACAGAATAGCCTTTTTTAAACTTTATTATATTTTGGGAATACACACTATAAATCTAGAATGCAATATTAAATTTGCAAAACTTAATTATAAAAATTTTACCATAAGTAGGTCTAAATAGAAGTAACTATTTTATATATTACTAGAAATGAATCATATACAATGACAGTTACAAAACACATCATGCAAAAAAACAAAGTAAAATAGAAATACAATATAATAGGCTTTCATATCATACTAAATAAATGATGAAAATGCATAAAATAAATTTGATAAGATGAAGTATTAATTTTTTAATTACTTACTTGATAGAATTAATATTTCTGCAGTATTTATGATCATCATCAACAGAAAATTTGACCATAATTCACTGTACTTTGATATTGACCACTGATCAATTATCTAAATGCTTTTTGTTACTCATATTGAAAAATTCTAAAGTAATATTCTAAACTTAAAAAAAAAAAAATTATAAATTCAAATTAAAACAATATAGTAATTTGATGAAACATTCATAAACAAATGTATTCATTTATATTTAATATCAAACATTATTATTTGATATTTAAAACATAAACTATTTTAAGTGATTATTTTGCAAGAAATTAAATAAGATTATTTTTCAATTAATAAGAAGTTTATCTTAAAATGCATATGGCTGTTTGCAACTTATTAGGTTATGCATGCAATCTTCAGCAGATGGAAATAAAAGTGTAATGGTAGTAAAAAGTGAAAAGGATTTTGCCATAGATTTTTCTATGGGAAATCCTTTTCCAAAACTTCTTGAAAATGGAAGCAGATAGAACAAAACAGCTTTCTGTATTAGAATTCTATTTAATTCTTCTATTAATGTAGAATTTTGAAAATCAAATTTGTTAATTTTCTATGATTTTAAAAATTCATAGAAAATTAATGCATTCAACTTTCAAAATTTTGAACTGTACATTAATAGAAAAATTAAATAGAATTCTAATGCAGAAAACTGTTTGATTCTGTCTGCTTTCATTTTCAAGAAGTTTTGGAAAAGGATTTTCACATTGAAAAGCAGTACCCTTTTACTGCCATCTGCTGGAGATCACATGCGTAATCAGAGTTTACAATTAGCTTTAAAATAGCATCAGTTTGCTTTAGGGAATTAAATTGACTTTTGGAATATTTATCCATTGTCAACATAACATATTGTATTAAAGAAACTTTATTAGCTTATTATAATATCGACTTCAAATTTAAATAATACCTAATTTTCAGCTATAATTTTATGAAATATAAAATTTTTTTGTGAAATATAAAAAGAATCTGATGACTATTTTAAGATTTTCATCTTAATAATCTAACACATTGTTACTTTAAAAATATTATACTGGATATAAGTGATTAAAAATATTTTGTACATATGTTTCTATCCAAAGTCTATTTATCTATTAGTTTTGCCCAATAATATTTTGTACATTAGCTTTTCTGTTCACTATATGCTTGTATCTAGCATAATAATTTATTCAATGATTAATAATTTCTAAGAAGCATTATAATAATTGTTTTTGTCTTCATATTAATAGTTTCTTTTGTATAATACGTTGAATAAAAAAATTTTAATGATTTCAAAATTATATATGTTACCGGCCAAACCCGATTTCAGGCCAAACTAGTTTGTCCTACGCGTCAGGATATACTAGTTTATACTAGGATAATCTAGTTTGGCCTAGGCCGAACTGATTTATTTACTACAAATAGGTGCCAGTGTAAAATAAATTTTGTGTAATTCAAAATGCCACCACAGTACACCCAGTGGTTAAAGTGTACCTAGGTAACCCTAATGGCGGTGCTTCGGTTAGGTTGGTTTGGTTAGTTAACTACATTTTTAGTAGACGTTTCCTTTTTTTCCTTTTGTTCAAGAACTATCATGAATCAATAACTAGTGAATTAAACAATGGGTGGCCTGCCAATGGCTCCCCTCTGGGAGGAGTCCGTCAGAAGCACGAACAGTCCGAAGTGCCACCATTGGGGTTACCTAGGTACACTTTAACTCATCTTGTAAAAATAAATAAAAGATTAAATATTTTATATGTTACACTAAGAAACACAAACAAGTTCATTTTTAATTTTAGTTTGACTTTAAAAGTTATTTTTATTATTTCGTTTGAATTTTTGAAAATATTTTCGAAAGTTAATTACCTTTAAAAGTGCATGGCTTAATAAAAAAAATACAAACTGATAAGTACTGATTAGCTTATTTTATTTTATAGTTTTGTACAAGTGTTGTGTCACTTCTAATCAATACCGTTCTTTAAAATTAAGTAGACTATGTTTGAATAAATATTGTTCATCTAATTGATTGCCTTTTAATTTTATTTTAACCATTAATATACTTAAATCAGGCCTGGCCAACCCGTGGCCCATCACATTAAATTGTGTGGCACACTAAGTGACATTATATATCTATTAAAACTTTTGTTTTCCATTTTGTGTATACCAAAACAATTAAATAAATGAAAATTTGCATGTGTCATTGTTATAATGTGCAAGTGCGAGTACGAACTCTTGGTATAACAATGAAATCTTATTCATTTTGTATTTGTTTTACAAGCATGTTTGCCTAAATTGTGGCACATTGTAATGTTACACTTGATCAAAGTGGCCTGCGAAACAATTTGGGTTGGCCAGGCCTGACTTAAATAATAATTCTAAATCAGTTCAGCCTAGGACAAACTAGTTAAGCCTAAAGTATTTAGGCCAAACTAGATTGTCCTAGGCTAAATTAGTATATCCTGACACGCATAGGATAAACTAGTTTGGCCTGAAATCAGGTTTGGCCAGTAACATATATATATCCAGAAAAAATTGTTTTATTAATATTTGATAATCATTATTTAGCCTTCAGTATTTAGATCAGAGATGAAAGTAACTTTAATTTTGTGTCAGGTAGCTAGAATATTTATACTCAGTAATAATTGGGTAACAGTACATTAACAATCTTAATTATAAAAAGTTTCAAATCAAGACTTTGAACTTGTAAGACTAGGTGCTGACATGCAATTTTTAGTTGACTGACTATTTAGTTGCATGAGTTACACCTAAAGACTCCTATGGGATTGCACCCACATGCAACAGTTCTGTCAATTGAATATTTGGTTTGTATCAACAATTCCACAACTATGATGAGATCTGCATGTTTAAATGTGTCCACACTTCCAAACTAAACAGTCCAACAACTCAGTTAAGTTTTGGTGTTTGCTATAATAGTGTTGGGAGAAGAAGCAAATTCATAATATTCATTATATTGTTTTTTGTTAAATTATGTTGTAAGATAGTTTATTAATTAATAAGTCATGTTTTGTGAATTTGTACAGTATATTTCTACTAACTGAGGTCGGAGAGCATTATTACTTAATAATATATATGTTTGCATATATTTTTTCCTCACTTTAGTTTTTTTCTTTGAATCTCTAGAACTTGCATACATGCACACACAAGATACCTCTTCAAAATCCATGATGATACAAGATAATTCAGATGCATGTATGTGCATGTTGTGGTTGGCTGATTGTTCAGTTGCTGTAGTAAGCATGTAATGACAATCAGTTGCTTGACTAAAAATTGTATATCAGCACCTAACTTAACTCGTAATTAAGAGTTACTTTTACTATAAAGTAATTAAAAGTCACTTCATTTTTCATATTCATTTATTTAATCTAACACAAAACCAAAATTGAACAAAATAGTTAATCAGAAAGCAAAATGAAAATCAAATGTAATGTGAAAATCTACACAAAAAAAAAAGATTAAAAAATGAATTTTATATTTAACCAAACAATTGCCATAATTTGGCTATAAATTTTCTATTATTAATGATTAGAAATTAAGTAATTTGGTATTAGAGGTAGATGTTAGGTGTCATCTCATATCTAAATTAAAAATAATCATTTTTTAATAATTTATTAAATAATTTAGAACCATTTGGAAGAAAAGAACTAGTCTCACTCTGGGTTAGTTCTTTTCTTCCAAACGGTTCTAAATTATTTAATAAATTATTAAAAGAAATTATAATTGTTTAGCATTGGTTGAAAAATATTATCTTATTATCTTATATATCTAATTCAATAAGAATTTACCCAGTTTTTATAAATGATAAAAGAAATACAATCATGGTATCGTTTTTCTTTTATCATTGACCTTCAGCACCATCACTGGAAAGATACAAAGTTTTGACATTTTATCTATTTTTTCATTAATATATTTGATAAAGAACATATTACTTCATTAACTCCTTTCTTTGCCTCTGTTTCAAGCTACTAAAACATAGTTTACTTTGTTGATTTACCACTGTAAATACCAGAAACATACAACCAAAGTTGTCTTAAGTAAAACATTTTCTCTATAGTTTATTTGTGAACATCAATTGTGTTATCACAGTGTTAGTTTTTACAAAATTTCTTGTTGGACTCCAATATTGACCAATTCTGATGAGTTGGGTCTGTCTTCCAGTCCATGGAATATCTGGATCTTTATTTTACATGTGAAGGTGTGGAGCTAGGCCACTATTTTCCTTCCACAGATGCATGCATAGAATAGTGTTTTTGAACATGAAAATGTAAAATGCTACAATATGGGAGTTGGGCCCCTTATGGAATACATGATTCAATTATAACAAAATAGTAAGCAATTGTTATTTTGTTACAAAACCTTAAAAACAAAAGCAAATAACAATCAAGTGGAAGAGAGGATAGAAATTTTTAAAACTGGAGGTCTGATGATGATGTAATTGTTTATAAATTTATGGTTTTCAGATCTGAGTTTGCATTTTGTGATTCTTTTTACTCCCAAAATATGTTAGAAAATGTATGTAAAGAGAAAGTAGTGACAAATTTCATCTAGAGACTGAATTTTAAAGTAAAATTTTTTCCTCTAAAATCAAAACTGCATACTCAGGACAACATGTGTACCAAATTTGGTTGAGATTTGTCCAATAATTGTTTCCATAGAGAGCTCTGAACACCTACTCTTTAAATATGATCATTATATTTTGAGTCACATACATAGAATGAAATATTTTAGAGGGAATATAAATAGACCTAAATAACATGGATTAAATAAACTGTAAAAAAGGCAAAGTTATTTTTTGAATCTGATGGAAGAAATATTACTGAATGAAATGTTTGTTTCCTACCTCAATATGTTTAAAATATAAAATAGCTAAATACAAAAATATTGTTATTCTTTTTATCACTATATCAGTGTATTTCTATTAAAATTGTTTTATTTTCAATTACCTGGTAATTGCAGGTAATTGAAAATAAAACAATTTTAATCTGTGTAACTGTGAGTCTGCAATCTTGTACACCAGTATGATAGGTCCTATTAATAGAAATACACTGATATAGTGATAAAAAGAATAATTTTGATTAAATTAAGGACATAGATGCATATTAATTAAAAATATTGTTGTTTATTATGTTTTATTCTTTATATTTTTATACTTTTGCTATGCTTGTAGTCATCAGTTTTATATAAACTGTATTTCTTTTTTGTTTTCTGTCCAAAAGATGTCTGCCATATCTAATTTTTGTAGTCTGTTTTTATTGTTAATGAATTTTGTTATCTTTGAATACATTGCAGTTTATTAATAAATAAACACACTAAATAGAAAACTTTATAGTTGTTTAACAAGACAGAAAAGATGTAAACTTATTGGATAATTAATATTAAATTTGTAATATTGTATAATTAAACAAATAGAATTTAAATAAAACAGTGGCAGTTTTTTAAATTCTTTATTTCATTATAAATTTCAAAAATTATAGGAATAATAATTGTATTTATTATTGTGTTGTATCTTGATAAAATTAATTTATAAATATAATTTTTGTTTGTAAATAGCAAATATACACTTAGTTCACATAACTTGTGGGAAAAATACAGTTTGGGCTTGTGATAATGAAGGAATTTGTTATTTTCGTGCTGGACCTCTTACTTTATCTTCTGTTCGGACACTTAATCAAGCATGGATTCCTGTTGATTTAAATGCTGAACATGAAATGAAAGCTTTTGTACAGGTATAACTGAATATGTTATGTTTATATATATTTCATAGATATAAATTTTGTATTTGTTTATATTGTATAATTAAGTCAAAATATTTGCCTTATTAATTGATTGTAGGTGTAGATAAATATTAAAATATTTATTATTCTAATTAATTACTCTGACAAGATAGATTAATGAAAGTAAATCTATTTCTGTGACTGAAAGCAGAATCATGCAAAGAAAATAGATAACTAATTTTGAAACTTAAATTAAATAAAATAATGCTAAATATTTTTTAAACAAAAAAATAGTATATAAATAATAGAACAACTGACTCTTTGAATAATATTGTTGTTCTGCAACTAGCTAGTTGGCTCAAAAAATCATGGTTTTAAAATTTTATCTTCAGGCTAAAGAAGTTATTAAAAANTAGTTAATTTAGTATAAAAAACGTAAAATATTTGAGTAGCCGAAGACATAGCCAAAGATTACGGCGCCACAGCACTGGCGAAAATTTAAATTTGTCGACTGAAATTCCTTCGGATAACTGACCTTCAGATAAACGACGCTCTACTGTATATGAAAACATACCCAATTGTGTACATTGACGAAAATATTTATTAGTTATCAAAGATTATTTGCATTTATTTTTTATTATATACTGTGTAAAGTTTTTTAATATCAGTTATTTTCTCATTTTTCCTTTTATATTAATTTGTTTTCTTTCATAACATTACTGCATGCCATTCCTTGTCCTTCATAACTTTTTGAACTAGAAAATATCTTGCTGAAATTTCAAACATATATGAGAGATTCTAAATTAAATTTCTGAAATGATTAAAATTTTGTATTATTTGTATAAAATATTTTAAAAAATAATTTATGATAATAGGTGATGATTAACTGTTAAGTGATTTTTTTATGATATTCCAGTTTTAAAGAATGTTTTTATCAGCAGTCTTTCATAGCTAACTGACTATTAGCATTTTATCTAAAGCATTACGAATAAAACTTAAACTGGTTAAACATATTCATTTGGCTAAATTATTAATAAACAAATAACATTCGAAATAAAAATTATAAATTATTCATTAAAAAGGTAAACAGTAAAAATTGTTTGACATTGGAAGTGTGAGATAAGCAGAGGGTCACGGGTGAATCCTAATGACCACTTAATCTGCACAAGATCATGAGATCCGATCTCTACGTCAATGAATGGCTAACCTATGAGTGTCAATAAGGATCTAGATTGTAAAATCAAGATCCATGTCAGGATGTTGACACCAGTTAAACTATTATTTCGCGGTTTAATTCACTATTTTTCTATTTCAATTAGTAGTGCTTGTTTGAGTAGGGAGACACATGAGTAAGTGATAGGAGTCCAAGGAAACTAGAATCAAGTCCCATTAACAAATTAACAAATATTTTAACAAATAACAAAGAATACAAATGAACAAACTAAAATATATCTATCTATGATTAATCCTTAAATTAGGTCCCTAAAGAGTGAGAGAGAGAGTTTATAAACGATATTGTATTATATCACATCTGTGATAACTTGACTTATGCGATTCATAATCTTGGGCGGAAGTTACTTGTATGAGGAACTATGGCACTTAGTTAAACAAAGACATGCTGAAGAGCTGAATTGCCCTGAGTTTAGTGCGTATCTTTTATTTATACTCCCCTTCTCCTCCAATAGAGATTAAGGATTAAGAGCATCTGACTGGGTGTGGTTGATGAGTCTTTCGAGTTAGTCAGCCCTTTTAGTCATGGGAGATAAAAATCTCTATCAGGAACTTACTGTCAACATAGGATACATTTATTCCTTGTTCTCTTTGATGTTTTTGCTTTGATAAAAATTTTTTGAAATATATTATTTAATTTTTAAAAGATTTTCTATATTATCTTGAATATTTTATCCCAAAATATTCTGAATCTCACAGAAGCACTTGTCATATTCATCAGATTCATGTTCTACTTACAAATAAAATAACTTGTGAGGCTTTGCAATAGTATTCTTTGAAATCAGTTTAGTTGACTTTAATATTTTTAAAATATATCTAGATTAATCTTCACTTATTATTATGACTCCAATTATTATGGTAGTGCATACCATCTTCTTGATACACGAAGGAATGTTTTCAAAGTCCTGATTCTAAGATCAGTGGCTGATACTTTTAAGAGATATTCTTCATCCACATTTCCAATATCCCAAAATTATAGCTATCATTCCTTAAATTAACTATATTTTAAATATTTATTTTTATCTTTCAGGTGGTATTTGGGGACTGTTAAAAAATAATGATATATTACATTTTTCTAATGAAACTGAAAAACCGTTGATACTTAAGCCACCTGATTTGCGTGATAAAATTAGTTGTTTAACATCAGCTCCAGAAGCATTATGGATATTAACATCACTAGGTAAAATTTTTATAATAAATGAAATTTTTTGTACCAATCTGGAAGAAATTAATTGGAAAAAATTAGATTTATCACAGTTGGGTAAGTATATTTTATATTAATAGTTTTACAGTGTAATTTTTTGATTTTTTTATTAACCATTTTAATGATAATATTCACAATAAATGTTTTATTTATAGATTTAAATATTGAATTGTCATAATCATTCCTTCTTTAAGGAAGAACTATTCTTAGCTTGAAATTTTGATTAACAATTTGTTTAATTAATTAATAATTATACCAGTGGAAAATACAGAATAGCCTTTTTTAAACTTTATTATATTTTGGGAATACACACTATAAATCTAGAATGCAATATTAAATTTGCAAAACTTAATTATAAAAATTTTACCATAAGTAGGTCTAAATAGAAGTAACTATTTTATATATTACTAGAAATGAATCATATACAATGACAGTTACAAAACACATCATGCAAAAAAACAAAGTAAAATAGAAATACAATATAATAGGCTTTCATATCATACTAAATAAATGATGAAAATGCATAAAATAAATTTGATAAGATGAAGTATTAATTTTTTAATTACTTACTTGATAGAATTAATATTTCTGCAGTATTTATGATCATCATCAACAGAAAATTTGACCATAATTCACTGTACTTTGATATTGACCACTGATCAATTATCTAAATGCTTTTTGTTACTCATATTGAAAAATTCTAAAGTAATATTCTAAACTTAAAAAAAAAAAAATTATAAATNTAAAGACTCCTATGGGATTGCACCCACATGCAACAGTTCTGTCAATTGAATATTTGGTTTGTATCAACAATTCCACAACTATGATGAGATCTGCATGTTTAAATGTGTCCACACTTCCAAACTAAACAGTCCAACAACTCAGTTAAGTTTTGGTGTTTGCTATAATAGTGTTGGGAGAAGAAGCAAATTCATAATATTCATTATATTGTTATTTGTTAAATTATGTTGTAAGATAGTTTATTAATTAATAAGTCATGTTTTGTGAATTTGTACAGTATATTTCTACTAACTGAGGTCGGAGAGCATTATTACTTAATAATATATATGTTTGCATATATTTTTTCCTCACTTTAGTTTTTTTCTTTGAATCTCTAGAACTTGCATACATGCACACACAAGATACCTCTTCAAAATCCATGATGATACAAGATAATTCAGATGCATGTATGTGCATGTTGTGGTTGGCTGATTGTTCAGTTGCTGTAGTAAGCATGTAATGACAATCAGTTGCTTGACTAAAAATTGTATATCAGCACCTAACTTAACTCGTAATTAAGAGTTACTTTTACTATAAAGTAATTAAAAGTCACTTCATTTTTCATATTCATTTATTTAATCTAACACAAAACCAAAATTGAACAAAATAGTTAATCAGAAAGCAAAATGAAAATCAAATGTAATGTGAAAATCTACACAAAAAAAAAAGATTAAAAAATGAATTTTATATTTAACCAAACAATTGCCATAATTTGGCTATAAATTTTCTATTATTAATGATTAGAAATTAAGTAATTTGGTATTAGAGGTAGATGTTAGGTGTCATCTCATATCTAAATTAAAAATAATCATTTTTTAATAATTTATTAAATAATTTAGAACCATTTGGAAGAAAAGAACTAGTCTCACTCTGGGTTAGTTCTTTTCTTCCAAACGGTTCTAAATTATTTAATAAATTATTAAAAGAAATTATAATTGTTTAGCATTGGTTGAAAAATATTATCTTATTATCTTATATATCTAATTCAATAAGAATTTACCCAGTTTTTATAAATGATAAAAGAAATACAATCATGGTATCGTTTTTCTTTTATCATTGACCTTCAGCACCATCACTGGAAAGATACAAAGTTTTGACATTTTATCTATTTTTTCATTAATATATTTGATAAAGAACATATTACTTCATTAACTCCTTTCTTTGCCTCTGTTTCAAGCTACTAAAACATAGTTTACTTTGTTGATTTACCACTGTAAATACCAGAAACATACAACCAAAGTTGTCTTAAGTAAAACATTTTCTCTATAGTTTATTTGTGAACATCAATTGTGTTATCACAGTGTTAGTTTTTACAAAATTTCTTGTTGGACTCCAATATTGACCAATTCTGATGAGTTGGGTCTGTCTTCCAGTCCATGGAATATCTGGATCTTTATTTTACATGTGAAGGTGTGGAGCTAGGCCACTATTTTCCTTCCACAGATGCATGCATAGAATAGTGTTTTTGAACATGAAAATGTAAAATGCTACAATATGGGAGTTGGGCCCCTTATGGAATACATGATTCAATTATAACAAAATAGTAAGCAATTGTTATTTTGTTACAAAACCTTAAAAACAAAAGCAAATAACAATCAAGTGGAAGAGAGGATAGAAATTTTTAAAACTGGAGGTCTGATGATGATGTAATTGTTTATAAATTTATGGTTTTCAGATCTGAGTTTGCATTTTGTGATTCTTTTTACTCCCAAAATATGTTAGAAAATGTATGTAAAGAGAAAGTAGTGACAAATTTCATCTAGAGACTGAATTTTAAAGTAAAATTTTTTCCTCTAAAATCAAAACTGCATACTCAGGACAACATGTGTACCAAATTTGGTTGAGATTTGTCCAATAATTGTTTCCATAGAGAGCTCTGAACACCTACTCTTTAAATATGATCATTATATTTTGAGTCACATACATAGAATGAAATATTTTAGAGGGAATATAAATAGACCTAAATAACATGGATTAAATAAACTGTAAAAAAGGCAAAGTTATTTTTTGAATCTGATGGAAGAAATATTACTGAATGAAATGTTTGTTTCCTACCTCAATATGTTTAAAATATAAAATAGCTAAATACAAAAATATTGTTATTCTTTTTATCACTATATCAGTGTATTTCTATTAAAATTGTTTTATTTTCAATTACCTGGTAATTGCAGGTAATTGAAAATAAAACAATTTTAATCTGTGTAACTGTGAGTCTGCAATCTTGTACACCAGTATGATAGGTCCTATTAATAGAAATACACTGATATAGTGATAAAAAGAATAATTTTGATTAAATTAAGGACATAGATGCATATTAATTAAAAATATTGTTGTTTATTATGTTTTATTCTTTATATTTTTATACTTTTGCTATGCTTGTAGTCATCAGTTTTATATAAACTGTATTTCTTTTTTGTTTTCTGTCCAAAAGATGTCTGCCATATCTAATTTTTGTAGTCTGTTTTTATTGTTAATGAATTTTGTTATCTTTGAATACATTGCAGTTTATTAATAAATAAACACACTAAATAGAAAACTTTATAGTTGTTTAACAAGACAGAAAAGATGTAAACTTATTGGATAATTAATATTAAATTTGTAATATTGTATAATTAAACAAATAGAATTTAAATAAAACAGTGGCAGTTTTTTAAATTCTTTATTTCATTATAAATTTCAAAAATTATAGGAATAATAATTGTATTTATTATTGTGTTGTATCTTGATAAAATTAATTTATAAATATAATTTTTGTTTGTAAATAGCAAATATACACTTAGTTCACATAACTTGTGGGAAAAATACAGTTTGGGCTTGTGATAATGAAGGAATTTGTTATTTTCGTGCTGGACCTCTTACTTTATCTTCTGTTCGGACACTTAATCAAGCATGGATTCCTGTTGATTTAAATGCTGAACATGAAATGAAAGCTTTTGTACAGGTATAACTGAATATGTTATGTTTATATATATTTCATAGATATAAATTTTGTATTTGTTTATATTGTATAATTAAGTCAAAATATTTGCCTTATTAATTGATTGTAGGTGTAGATAAATATTAAAATATTTATTATTCTAATTAATTACTCTGACAAGATAGATTAATGAAAGTAAATCTATTTCTGTGACTGAAAGCAGAATCATGCAAAGAAAATAGATAACTAATTTTGAAACTTAAATAAAATAAAATAATGCTAAATATTTTTTAAACAAAAAAATAGTATATAAATAATAGAACAACTGACTCTTTGAATAATATTGTTGTTCTGCAACTAGCCAGTTGGCTCAAAAAATCATGGTTTTAAAATTTTATCTTCAGGCTAAAGAAGTTATTAAAAAATAGCAGTATTAAAAATTCAAATGAAATTTATTTATCCTTGGAGAATGTCACTAAAATATGATCCAGTCCAGTTATTTTTTATTTTGTGAACTTAGTAAAATAAAAGTTTATTGATCACAATGTTTTATTCCTCTCTCATTTTAAATAGAAAATTGAATAAAATATTTCAGTCATAACAATGATAAGAATAAGTGTGGTTGATCTATCATTTGATGATGAATTTTTAAAAAATTTGATAAGATTACTTAAATATTTTTCATAATGTAGATTCTAAACTTAGAGGAAAATTTTTACTGTGATTTACATTTTAAACTTTATTACCTTATTTCTTTGTAGAAAAGGGCTGGCAGAATTACAATTTAATAAAAAGTAAAATACATCTGGATATGAGTCCAATTTTGCTTGCCATGTCCAATCACCAGGAACAACTATTTCCATTGCAGAGACAACCTTTCTTTAGAGGCTATGCCTTTGCACAAATATGTAAAACAGCTTAAAATGTTCACAGGTAACAATCCCAACACAATTAAAAATATAATATTTCTTTGTATTTTATTTCTCTGTTTTACATATTTGTGCAGAGGCATTGCCTCTAAAGAAAGGTTGTCTCTGCAATGGAAGTAGTTGTTCCTGGTGATTGGACATGGCAAGCAAAATTGGACTTGTATCCAGATGTATTTTACTTTTTGTTTATTACTTTAATTGAAAATTAAGTAGACATATTTTAAAGTCTTTTTCTTTAATCCTTTTTGCCATCCAACAGAGAAGTAACAGTAAGTTGGCTTGAAGATATAATAAATTATTCATAAAACAACATAAATAGATTATTGAAAAAATTAACACAAAGTTGAAATTGATCAAACTCTGATCTTTTATTTTAAGATCTGGCATTTTTTTACAATAAAACAATGATAAAAAATTTTTCTTACAATAACTATCATATCCTATAGCCATATTTAACTACTGCTTCGAGCCCTATGGTGGTGCTTTCATTGGGTATTCACAAACAATTTTATGTAAAAATTGTTTGTGAATGCCCGAAAGCACCAAAAACCCTGAAAAACTTAGTTTGGTGGGTGTACTACTTTTTGTTTTCTCTGTGGAAACAAAAGCCTCGAGTCAATCCTGAACATTCCTAGTAAAATAATAGTTATTCTCAGTTAAATGTTCTTTTTATTGTTTCATATATAAACATGCTTATCATGTTTTCTAATTTATTCTGTCTAATGTAATATTATTTAATTTTTTAAAATATAGTTATTAAACTTCAGAAGTTTGGACATGAATCAATTTTTGGATTATTTCCAAAAAAATTTGCCAAACCTAGTATAGACATATAAGTACAGTGGGTGATCAGATAATGAACACTTTTGCAAAAGATTTTTATGTTCAGATAACGAACACATGATCGGATAATGAACACCTCACAGAACAAACACAAGAAGAAGTGACATAAAATAATGAAAACCGATTTGTCTTCTCTTGCCGTCAGGCAACAATTTGAAACTTTTCAGAGCACAGGAGATGTTGACATCAATGCTCAACCTGGTATATACTAATTGGATAGTATTCCTCTGAACTTTGAAACTCTCCTTTGTAATTCCAGTTTTTTTATTTTTCTGACAGAAACAATTCTTTTATAGTATTTGTGAGACTGTAGGGTGAGCACTTGTTAAGTTTTGAGTCAGTTTTTATTTTCGAAAGGTGAGAGTATAATAGCAAAGGTAGAGAGTGGGCAGAAGATGTCTGATGTTGCTGGGCAGTATGGCTTGAACAAGTCTACAGTAGGCTGCAGTTCAATCTTAACTAAGAAAGGTACTGTATAATCAAGAAGACTCAAGCAGCTAAAGGAGTAACAAAAATCACATCTGAGAAATAAAGAACATTGAAGAGCTGATAATGGAACCTGAAATGGATCTGACTACAGAAGAATGCCAAGAACTCTTGAATGAAGAATACCAAAAAACTTGGTGAGATATATTTTCTTCTGAAAAAAAGAATTATTGTCGATATCTGCTATTAAACATTTTTTTGAAGAAATGGGAGGATGTCAGAATAACGGTCTTGAAATGGCATCCAAACTAGGTTGAGGTTAATAGGCTTGGGGGTCTCTACAATTATAATGCTATTAATTACTTCTGAAAAATCCTGAAGAAGAGAGAAAAGCAATCAACATTAGACAGATTCTTTAACACCCACAAACAGAAAAAAAACGTGACTAATAAAAATGCAAGACTGTGTATATATGTATTTTATTATTACCTATAATAAACATAGTAATAAAGTATATATTTTTTTATTTTTGGGAGTCTCCAGAACAAATTAATCAAATTCCCATAAAAACCTATGGTAAATCAATAATCGGTTAACGAACAATTCAGATAGCAAACAATGTCTTGGAATGGATTATGTTTGTTAACTGATTACCCACTGTATAACATGATATAGACAAGAGAAATTCTATGGTTATAAGAACAAAATAGTTACTAATGTATCTTGATTACATAATGATTATAAATCTATAGGATAACATTATTCAATAATTTTTAAATGATAGGGCAACAGTTATCATCAAACAAGAACCACTTCCCATTCAGTTAAACAAATTTGTATTACAAAGGTGAGCAAACTTTTCTAAAATAATTTTTAAAAATTATTTTCTTTTTTAAGTTTTAATTATTATTATTTTTTATTCTTTAAATAGATATATGCTGGCCAAAATTATTTTATGATTTGGGCAATTGATAAAAAACATAATATATATGTTCGTGAAGGAATATTTCTAGACTTACCAATTGGAACTGGATGGGTTTATGTTAAAGGAATTCAAGCAAAACAGTTATGCATTACAAATAATTTTGTTTATGCTGTAACATTGAATGACAGTATTTACTGTAGAATTGGAATTACAGATAAAAACTATATAGGAGATTATTGGAAAAAAATTCCAGGAAGTGCTGTTTCTTTATCAGGTATTTGCAAATAATAACAGCTAAAATAATGTAAATTAGTACATTAGAATATAAATTAGTGTTGTATTACTATATAAATATAATACTATATGAATGGATTGCAAATTTTTGGAGATTTTCCTACATTTGCCAAAACATTTACAATTATGCAATTAATAAATGCAACTATTAAGCTTGTATCATAGCTTCACATGTCATCCTGGTCACTACAAAAGACTCAGTGAAGGATTTCAAGTAAAACAATTATGAAAGCCTGTATTTATCCATAACTGATTCTTTTAATTTTGATTTACAAGATTCTTTAAAGTTTATAAAAATGATGAGAGTTACAGTGATGAGGAATAATCAGATGAGTACCCATAAAGTATGATAGTCATTTGTAAAAACTGTTGTTTGATGCAAATTATTTCAATTGAAAATTTAGTGGCAATATCTATCTATCTATTATTTGTAAATATTTATTTGCAGTACCAATGATATGAATAGCAAATTTAAAAAAAATAAATATGTGCAAAGAATCACAACTGATTCTTGTTTAGAGATTGTAAATTGTACACATAGTATTGTGTTGCAATCTCTTACTTATGTTTAGTATCCAGCTAGAAGCTTGACTATAGCAATGTTATTGATAAAGTTATAGCACAGAATCATTTGCACAGTAAATTATTATTTAATGACAATTTACTGTGCAATTATTCAAAGTAATGTGGTTTGAAACTACTGTACTTTGGATAATCAAAAACTTATACTACATGAAATGGATTGGTAAATTATTAAACAGACTCTATTCAGATGCATTAACATATTCAATATACTCTATTTCTAGATTAAGACTCATGGTTATAATTAAAATTTCTTTAACTTTTTTTGAATTTGTATTTTTATGAAATTTACCAGAGTAGGGTCTTAGTTACCAGGGTAAGGTTTATCACAGATCCTCATTGTTTAGATACATCATTACTTTGGAAGGAAAAAGTTGCTATCTCTACATATTTTTATAAATTCTCCATTTGTTAGCATTTTCAGTGAGTGGACATTTTTTCTTCACTCTGGTAGTATCCTATGTAAAAATGGGATATTTTATTTATTGGTAACAACGTAGCATTAAATTTAGATTTCAGAAGCTATTTTGGCTACCTAACCAATTATGTTAGCAATTGAGTAGCATTTCCATTTCCAATATTACATTTTTAGAATTAATTTTTGCTTTGTGTTTCTGATTTCACTTCCAATCTTTATTATTAGCATTAGTTTTTGTTGTGTGTTTAATTATTTTTAATCGTCTACAGTTTTTCTGTCTACATCAATGTTTTCTGACCTTTTTTGTTTCACAGCACACTTGAAACTATAATTAAATTTCTGCAGAAAACATTATGCGACTTAGTTGTGTTTGTAAACATTCTATTGCCATATTACTTGCCATTTAATCTAATTTATCTTGTCTATATTTTTTGTGAATTAAATAAAACAGTATTGTTGTTCCTTAAAATAGCAGCATGTTACAACAATAGTTATTAATATTAATAAATTTTATTCACATAAAAGCAATTAACATTAAGTCTTAATATGCATTTAAAAGTGACATAATAATTGTCTTTAGAAACCTGCCCTATTTCTAAGTTAAAATAATTTGAACTAAATGTGGACATTTATAGAAAATATATTTCGTTTTGACTATACATACATTTTTTATTATTTTTTATTTTTTTATTTTTTAACTATATGTGGACAATTATAGATACATTTTTGATTTAAAGAAAATTTCATTTTAAATGAAATAACCTGATACTATGCACATATAATTTTGCTTATAAATATAAATTTTTTACTACATGTATATATTTATTTATTATAACAATTAAAAACTCATATAATAAATTTAAAGAAGTTTTAATTTTGACATATACACTTATTTTTCTTTTGAAAATAATTTATTTAATAACCTTCAAAAATTTTCACAGCACACCTATGATCCTCTCACAGCATACCAGTTGAAAATCACTGGTCTATATTTGTCAAAGCAATTGCTTACTTAATGCAAAATAGTAAATTGTTAAAAAAATTAAATCTAGTGACAAATATACATAGCTTAACAGTAATTAAAATATGTGAATGGCATTTTCTTTCTGTAAGTCACATTATTTTTTCACATGTTTTGCTATTAGGCATTTTGCTAATGCTCCAAAACACATTTTCAAACAAAATAGCTTAATATAATTTATTAAGTCAAGTTTCAAGAGTTGAGGTTTATCAAAGTATATTATTATAACTCTGCTAATCAGAAAAATTTCAGTACTTTATGCTCAATTGCGGGCACTAAATTGGTTAAGGTTTTCTCATTTTGGGGTTTCATAATATGGTAACCAAAAGTTTTAAAGAGGATTTGCTGTGGTGTATGGTTATGCCAAAATAAATTCTTTTTAAAATTTTTGGAGTCATTTTGCCTTGCTAAGATAAATGAAAAAACTATACTGTACTACATGTTAGAATTGTTGATCTAACAAATGCAAAATGCTGTTTTTGATTTTTGTTGTAATATGCACTTTTAATGTCATTATGGTGTATTAGTTTTTGGTGCATCTTCTCTCTGTTCTTTTGTTCTTTGGAGCAGTGTGCTTTTTGTATGACATGCATATATTTGAAGGAATAAAAGAATATTTGCTATTTATCCTCAGTGGAGTGAGTGTCAATTTTGGGTTAATGCAACAAATTTTGGGTTAATTTAACAAAATCTGGAAGTGCATATTCCAAATTTTGTTAAATTGTAACAATAAAAAAAATTATAAGGAATGAATTCAGCTATTAACAGTTTTCCATTAGTCCAATGCCAGTTCACTCTTAGCTAAACATTCTAAATAGCTAAAAATAAATCTATTAATTAAACCTTCTTTAGCTTTGATAATCTTTAAAAAGAATATAACAGATTCCAATTAAGCCATGTTTGTAATCAATCTAAATAATGTTCTTACATTATAAATACACTAAATAATTAAAATAATTATATTTTGTTATAGCTAATTCTGATGGAAGATTATATGCTATTGGTTTGGATGAGGCACTCTATCAACATGAAATGCATGTAATAAAACAATCCTCTTCTGCTAAGTTCAAGTCTGTATCAACAGTTGTAGAGAAAGTTCAAGAAGAAGATTGGGAATTCATTTAAAAGTTATATAAATTTGTTTAATTTCAATTAATTTTCAACATGAATTATATTAAATAAATGCCATTTATGTATAAGTTTCTTAAGAGAACGAATTATGTATAATATAAGTTGTATAAGAATTGTATTATTTTATTATTTTGATAATTTAACTGTTTACATAAATGTATATGTAAATTAATGAATAATTAGTGTTCAAATATATTTATTAAAATTATTAAAGAAATGTTATTTAACAGTATTATGATGCAATAATTGTTATATAAATATAAAAATATATTTAAATATTGAAATACAAGTGAAATAAATATCTAAGATGTAGAAATTTTAATATTTAGCATGTTTTTTTAACATTAATATACTTCATTCATAAGAATGAAATTTTAGGTAAAATTTCATTCTTATGAAATGAAATTTTAATTCAAAATGAAATTTTAGGTAAAATTTCATTTTGTGTGTGTGAGTGTTATGAAACTGAATGATGTGACTATTGAGTTTTCATAGATATACTTCTAATATTTTTAATTATTGAAAAATAAATATTAACAAATATAATTTCAAAAAAATTTATTTTTCTTTTTAATATATACAATATATTAAAAAGGACAGTCATCATTTCAGTTATAGTACATATGACTATATAACATCTAATTTAAAGGAACTTTACATATTTTTGCAAGTTTTTATTATGCTTTTAATTAAATTGTATTAAGCATATTTTAATAATTTTTCTTACCTCATAAATATTTTTATACATATACAAAATTAAAGGATATATTTTAGATTATAAAGGAATAAAATGTCTTATACTTATGAAAAACACATTATATATATGATGTGTTATGTAAGTAATGAGATAGAAATCAAAATACAAGAGCAATTTATTTTCATTAAATCAAGAAAATTATATAGTTCTGATATAAAAGAGAATTTAACATGCTACATCTTATTCTATTCTTTTACTTGTATTGCTTATAAATTAGTATAATATAAAATGCATAAATAATTTTCTTTTTAATTTAAATGTCAATTTTATTACAAGTATTCAAATATGTTTTAACAAAAAAAAATATTAGAAAAATATTTTATAAAATGTATTTCTGATGTATATTTCAATGTAATATGTTGAGATTTTAAAACTCATCTCATTTATACACTTAATTTTATATCAAGAATGTAAATTTTAATACTAGTCTATTTCTAAACCAAATGAATGATTTTAAATTGAAATTAAATTCATAAATTTTCTAATAATTCCTAAAATTATCTACAATTTCATTAATTCTGTGATAATATTTTTAGAACTGTGATATATATTGCAAATATATTGATGATATATATTTCTGTTAATTGGCAATAAAATGTTATTTTCACTAATGATAAAATGTTTTACTTGCATCAATTTAGTGGAAACAGAAGACAGAAGATAATTCATAAAATGTGAGAAAATAGCTGCTTACTGATTTTTAAAAACATCTTTATATTAACTGTAAACATATGAATTGAACCATTCACAGGCCAAATTGATTAACTCCACTTGTAAATCCTTAATATAATCATTATTATTTTTACATTTTTCACGTAACAAATTTAAATTAAAGCTATGCTTTAATATAACAGTATATGACAATACATTCTACAATGTTTATTTAAATTTAAAGTTTAAAAGGAATTTTAAAAAATAATTTATATTATCAATTTTTATACCTTTTGTTTTGTGGAGTTAATCGATTTTGGCAAGTGAGCAGTTCAATTGATAAACACTTAAAAAGTGTAATAACAACATGAATTTATTTACAAAGCTTTTTGAAATCCATTAAATCTATTAAAATAATGTTTCAATAAAATAGAAATAAAATATAAATTTATAATTCTCAGATATAAATGAAGTTTGTTTAAAATATTATGCATGCTAGATGTTTAAATGAAAGTTTATTTGCAAGAAGATGTATACAGCAATACCATGAGTCAGATTTAGTGGCACCCATGATCCTTTGTCACCTTACATGTTATGTCATTGATTCCTAAGTGTAGTATTAGCTTGTTATTGTTATTATTTAAAATTTGCAATAGTTAGAAATGACATGCACTACTGAACAGAGAATTCTCATAATGTAAAGTTACACAAAGAAAAAATTATCAAAAATTAAGGTGACAATATACACACCTCAAAAGTGAAATTGCAACACAAAGGAATGCGTGTAGCCACCTGCAAATGGCAGGACCAGTAGAGGTGAAGAGATATGCAAATGATTAAGTTTGCAAAAACTCAGGTCATGTGGTACCCAGTTTTGGGCTCCAAAGACCAGCAGCTGGTTTGGGTTGCAAATGCTATCAGTGACAGTTTGCAGCAGCCAGACTTTACAAGAAGCATAGAAAATGCCTCAGCAATGACAGCAAGCTGAATACCACTAGTGTGAGGCTCCGGAAGTGGGTTGAAATTCGTACACAGAAAATGTTTTAATTTCGTATAAAAAAAAGTGTTTTTTTTAAATTATAATAATATATATTGTAAAAAGAAACCGTCTAACGCAAGGTGAATATATTATGTCCATATAAAGTCATATCTGTAGAAATTTCTGAGAAAAAACGAATTTCTCAGAAAGAAACAATAGATGAATTTGAGTACTTAGATCGAGCGTCTTCGATAGGAATCAAATTGTCAATCGGAGTTGACTCACCCCGCGATCTGGGCTCCGATCCCGTTACAATTTGTAACGAGGAGGGAGACCAATTAGAGAACGGGGGCAGATCGACATCGACCTATCGGAATGTTCGATCTGGGACTCAGAAAAACTTATAAAAATCGCGCAAAAATAGGATGTGACGTTCTTGGTTACTAAGTTCGGTGTGCTCCGCTTCTGGATTTTTCCTGCGGTTCGTCGTCCCGAAAGAAGTTTTCGCCATCCTGTCCCAGCAACTTTCGCCAAGGATAATCTACTGTGAGAATCACCCCTTCAAGTTGTGCTGTGCACCCCGGAGCCTACGTTTTCCTCATCATCTTCGCCAAAAGAAGAGAAGATCGTAAGATTGAACTTTGAACTGATTCACTCTGTGGATAGGCCTTACGCCGAAGAAAACAGTAGTTGTAAGAGAAATTTTTATATTTAATAAATAGTTTGCGATGGAAGACCTGTCTCAGTAAGTTTTTCCACTCCCACACGACAGTGCTGACCGCTCGACTGTCGCGACACTTTTTCCCCAATCGGCAAACCTCGCAC